CAGCTTGATTTTGGAACACTGGGCGTCGGAGAAAGCAGAAATATGATATTCACCATTCGAAATGATAATCCTGTAGATGTAAGTATGTTTTGCTCATCACAAGCATTACTTACTGTTTTGTTCGGGTTTTTTTTTTCTCTCTCTTAGAATTTAAGAACATGGACTACGATACAGTTAATCTGTTTTGTTCTTTCTCAGAATTTAACAAAATGAACAGTGGAACAGTTTCTTCTGTCTTGTTCTCAGAATTTAAGAACATCGACTCATTTAAGATACTGCTGTCCAGAAGTGGACGTTCACCAGCTGTTCTGCCAGGCGGAAGGTGAACGCAAAGAAGCTCGTCCGACTACATGACACTGCAGTCCTGCTCCAGAACCTGAGTTTGCGTTCCCCTTCCCCATTTTAATCTCAGATTAAATTCATGAACTATGAATGAACAGCAAACTTGGTTAAACTTGCCTACTTGGGTGCAGATTCACTGCTCTAACATGCTGAAAGAAGAAGTACAATCTAGAAATAAAGTATACTATGAATTCAACATCTGCTAAAGTCAGTCTCTATCTCGCAAAACCAAGATCAAAATGTATAGAACGTTGATAAGACCACTCGTTTTTTTATGGATCTGAAACTTAGGGCACAGCTAAAAGAGATGATGCCTTATTAAAAATTTTCGAAAATAGAGTCTTACGACGAATCTTTGGACCCATCAAAGATGCAAACAGCTGGGAATGGAGAGTGGGAAGCAACAATGAAATTCACAATCTGTTTAAATTACCTTTGATCACTGGCATCATGAGAGCTAATAGACCAAATGGCTGGGACATATTGAGAGAATGTCAGATGACAAAGAGGTAAAAACTTTATACACAGGGAAGCCGAATTGTCGTAGACCACAAGGTAGACCAAGAAGATGATGGAGAGTTAATATCCTGACAGACCGCACAGATCAACTTGGTGTCACCAACTGGAAAGGGAAGGCCAACCGGAGAGATGAATAGAGGCAGGTGATATCTACAGCAATAAACCTCAAGGGCTCGAAACACTGAAGAAGAAGAAATGGTAACTAAATATATAATTATCACATAAGATGAGTGATTCAGTCAATGTGCTCGAGGTAAGAAAAATTAAAAACGGCAAAATTGTTTTTCTCTGTCACTGCATCTCAGTCCTTCACATGACTCAGAGGGATACATGAGACAACATGGAGAGAGAACTGACCCGCCAGCTAAACGGACACAGAAAATGATTAAATCGTTCTCCAGTGGATACCGGTTCACTGAAGCATACCAGGAAATGAGTTAGCAGAAAGACTTGCAAAAAATGGAACAAAGGAGAAATCACACGCCCATTCATTGTCATTACCAGAAATCAGAACACTTATTAAAGGAAAATACAAGGAATTGTGGAGAGAACAAACAGTAAACATCCACAAGACCTCATCAGCAGACTCAAAGAAAACAACATACAACAATTTTCTGTCTACGAACAGGACACTGTAGGCTCAACTACCACATGCAGAAAATAAAGATTGTACAGTCCCCACAGTGTGCCTGTCAAACAGGACCACAAACACCTGAGCACGTTCTGCAGACTTGCCCACTCTACCTACAACTTCGAAAAGAAACCTGGCGTCAAGAGTAAAGTGTGCAGAGCAAGCAATGGGGAACCTTGGAAGGACCTGTTAGCTGACATGCGAGTTTATAGAGGCAACCCACCTGATGGTCTGATCTGAGCATACGAAACCAAACCGAAAAAGAAGACATAAAATGAGTATACAAAGGTATTGTAAATTTGAACAAAGAAGATACAAACAGTAGTGCATTTTACAGTAACAGTTAATAAAATTAAGCAAATAAATGAGTCTACAGCTGAAGTACAGAATCACCTACACTCAGAAGTAACTGCCTGTTTAACCAGGCCAAGCAGAATTTCCCGATGATGTCTTTTTGTTTACACAAATCTTGAGAGAAGTGATTAGAAGTTGCCTCTCCAAGACAAGTATTGTAGCTAATGATAAGCTGAACTGGTATGTTTTTCCTTCACAGATTGTAATAGCTCGCTTTGAGACCAACATGTCGTGGGCTTCTGTGGAGATCTTAGGGATAGAAAAGGGGAATGGAACCACTCTTACTTGCAAACATAATCAGTCAGAGATCAACATAGACCCTGTAAGTTACCCCTCTGCTCTGTGTGGAGCATCGCTGCTGTTTCATGTATCATACATGCTGTCTTTAATATGCTGAAGGAAACATCGAGCAGGATCTCTGATATTAAGAAAATGAATTGATATACTTCTAGACATTCAAAATCATTCTAGATTGCCATTACAATTGGGTGGGGGGGGGGGGGGTGACTCTGTACTAACAGAGTAGATTGTCACTACAGTGTGCTAATGGATTTATACAGGGTAGATTGTCACTACAGTGTACTAATGGATTTATACAAGGTAGATTGTCACTACAGTGTACTGATGGATTTATACAGGGTAAATTGTCACTACAGTGTACTAATGGATTTATACAGGGTAGATTGTCACTACAGTGCACTAATGGATTTATACAGGGTAGATTGTCACTACAGTGTACTAATGGATTTATACAGGGTAAATTGTCACTACAGTGTACTAATGGATTCATACAGGGTAGATTGTCACTACAGTGTACTAATGGATTCATACAGGGTAGATTGTCACTACAGTGCACTAATGGATTCATACAGGGTAAATTGTCACTACAGTGCACTAATGGATTCATACAGGGTAAATTGTCACTACAGTGCACTAATGGATTCATACAGGGTAAATTGTCACTACAGTGCACTAATGGATTCATACAGGGTAAATTGTCACTACAGTGTACTGATGGATTCATACAGGGTAAATTGTCACTACAGTGTACTAATGGATTCATACAGGGTAGATTGTCACTACAGTGTACTAATGGATTTATACAGGGTAAATTGTCACTACAGTGTACTAATGGATTCATACAGGGTAGATTGTCACTACAGTGTACTAATGGATTCATACAGGGTAGATTGTCACTACAGTGCACTAATGGATTCATACAGGGTAGATTGTCACTACAGTGCACTGATGGATTCATACAGGGTAGATTGTCACTACAGTGCACTAATGGATTCATACAGTGTATATTGTCACTACAGTGTACTGATGGATTCATACAGGGTATAGATTGTCACTACAGTGTACTGATGGATTCATACAGGGTATAGATTGTCACTACAGTGCACTAATGGATTTATACAGGGTATAGATTGTCTCTACAGTGTACTAATGGATTCATACAGGGTATAGATTGTCACTACAGTGCACTAATGGATTCATACAGGGTAGATTGTCACTACAGTGCACTGATGGATTCATACAGGGTAGATTGTCACTACAGTGCACTGATGGATTCATACAGGGTAGATTGTCACTACAGTGCACTAATGGATTCATACAGGGTAGATTGTCACTACAGTGTACTGATGGATTCATACAGGGTATAGATTGTCACTACAGTGCACTAATGGATTTATACAGGGTATAGATTGTCTCTACAGTGTACTAATGGATTCATACAGGGTAGATTGTCACTACAGTGTACTAATGGATTCATACAGGGTAGATTGTCTCTACAGTGTACTAATGGATTCATACAGGGTAGATTGTCACTACAGTGTACTAATGGATTCATACAGGGTAGATTGTCACTACAGTGTACTAATGGATTCATACAGGGTAGATTGTTACTACAGTGTACTAATGGATTCATACAGGGTAGATTGTCACTACAGTGTACTAATGGATTCATACAGGGTAGATTGTCTCTACAGTGTACTAATGGATTCATACAGGGTAGATTGTCACTACAGTGTACTAATGGATTTATACAGGGTAGATTGTCTCTACAGTGTACTGATGGATTCATACAGGGTATAGATTGTCACTACAGTGTACTGATGGATTCATACAGGGTAGATTGTCACTACAGAGTACTAATGGATTTTAGACACATATGAAGATTATTTACACACACAAATGTTGTGCTTACCTTACACTTCTTTAGCAACACTGCTATCCATTTTTAAGAATTCACATGCCTTCTCTGTTCAATTATGTATCAGCTAGTCTTTATTTGAAACAGTTAAATTAAATACTTTGGATGCTATGACCATTTTTGTATGACAAATCAAATCAGATATCACAATAACTTAAATCGGGTAACCAGCTGATCAAAACAGAGATGATTCAATTGAAATATTTTATTCAATCTTCATCATAACCTAAATTATCGGCAGTAGGTTTGCCACACGCATTATCAGTCATAATATCAAGACTGTTGTCACTATCTGGCTGAGATTCATCAACAACAGAGTAGTTTGAACAGTTCTCGACCTTTTCCCTCATCATTGGGTCTGGAATAAATTGAAAACTAATCAGAAATTCACGCAAACACCATGCTGAACTTTAAAAATGAAAGGATTTTGTTTTGCTAATTCTAGTTTTTTTTAAACTCATTCATAGAAATTTGTTTTCCCAGCAAACGAAACAATAATAGTGTCTCTATGAGGTGCCACTATAGTTGCAAATAGTCTCAACGAGATAGATTCAAAAGCCACTTAAGTGGCGACGATTCTGTAAAAAGTTAATAATGAGTTAATGAACCTGAATTTGAGTTCACACCTTTGTTTCACATTGTTCTTGTTTCAGTTATATATAAAGCCTTATCACTATGCAGTGTTCAATGTTAGCATCATTGCCCCAGAAGAGGAAGGGGCTTACGTGGCAGACATTTGGATGTTCACACAGTTTCAGGATCTATTTATACCTATTATTTTCCGTGCTGCCAAGGGCAGCCTACATGCCATTCCAGACAAGTTTGTCTTCGATAAAGTGTATCCCGTAAGTTTTTTTTTTTTTCTTCTTCACATTTCACAATTACAGCATTGTATGCATTAGGTGTTTCACTGCTGTCGCTAGATCTCAGAATCTGGTTTACATGGAAGACTAACATGGGCAGCAAATCCCTGAAGAAGTCAGATGTGTCTGCCAAAAAAGTGCAAATATTGCAGCAAGATGAAAATGGGCACAGTGCAGTTATGACTTTGGATGAATGTAGAAGAAGAATACAGTTGATAGATTTTAGTATGTTGTTTCCAAAAAAAATATCCTCATTGACACAGTCTCTGCCTTGTTGACTCAGGAATACAGACACCAGTATGTGTCACGAATTGACGGAATAATTCTTCCCCGTATGGGTTCCAGGGCCACTTTGGTGGGGGAAGCAAGAATAGACCTACTCCCTTCCCCCACAAGCATGTAGTAAGAGTCAACTGATTAGGAGTTTTCTTCAAAGTCCGGGTGCATCTGCCTGAGAGGTAAGGAACCAACAGTCTGCATACAGATAAGTCAGATCTTTAAAACAGATGTGCATGCAGCACTCAGTTTCTGGAACAAGTCTAAAGTCCAGTGATGGATGAACAACCAGAACTTTCTGCCGAAGTTTAAAGTGGGTGAACGGGAAGAAGAAGACAGAATAATTATAACATTCTCTGCCATTTGAGACAAGTTTGTCTCTGATCAAGCGTATCACATACGTTTGTTTTTCTCTCTTCAAATTTCACAATTAGAGCGCACTGTAAATGTCAGTTGTCCCAGACCTGTTGCTAGATCTCTGAATAGGGTTTGCAGGAAAGGCCAGTACAGGCAACAAGTGCCTGAAGAAGTCTGCTGAAAGGTGCAAATATTGCAGTCATATTGAAAATGAGCACAGTGCATTTACATCTTCAGATGAACACAGAAGAATATTGTTTATAGATTTTAGTATATTTATAAACATGTCATTATCTTCGTTGACACAGTGTCTTGCCTTGTTGACTCAAGAATAGAGGACCAGTATAAGTCATAAATTTATGAAATAATTCCTAACTGCAGTTGGATCGCCATTCTTAACAATTCAAAGATTACCTGATACTGTTAACATATCTGGCTAAAAAAGAAAATGAAAGAAATTGATGAAAAATTAAAATAGGGGACGATCAAGAAGATGGATTGAAAGTCTAGTGATACCTTGAGACTCGACAGCATAGCGGGCGACCGGGTATACCATAACTTGGAAACTGATCATCTCTTAATCTGCAATGCCTAGCTGCACAATAGAGAAAATGAACAGTAGAAAGAATGTAGGATTTCAGCTGTCAACACTCCACATCCTACAGTGAGTTTAGGGATTTAGAATAGCTAATTTATGAATTATTTATCTAGTTACTTGCCAAATGGATATCTGTGTGACCCTTCTGCAGGGCCGTGTGCCGTACAAGGTGGTGCAGATACACAGTACTTTTGATGATTACATGGAGGTCACCAAGGTCTCTTTCCAGCCAGCAGATGTTCGCTTTTATTTTCTTCCACAAAACAGCAACACTGTCCTCTTGCAGCCCCATGAGCACACCATTGTGAGTATCCTGATGGTATATTTGTTGCTCGCTAGTTTGACTAATTTGTTCCTTTATTTCTGATCAGTCTCACACTGTTCTCAATTCTGACCAGTCTTACAGAAGTCTCATTAATAAATAACCTTGCTGTGTCCTTGTTACTGACTACCATTACCAGTTTGTTTCATTTCGGGCCTGTCTCAGAGTGTTCTTATTAATGACCAGCATTACTGTGTCCTTTTTACTGATTAGCATTACCAGTTTTTGTCATCATTTCTGACCAGTCATACAGTGGTCTCATTAATGACTAGACTTACATTGTCCTTGTTACTTATGAGCATTACCAATATTTATCATCATTTCTGACCAGTCATACAGTGTTCTCATTTCTGACCAGCCTTACAGTGTTATCATTAATGACTGTCATTTATGTCCAGTCTTACAATGTTCTCATTTATGACCAGTCTTACAGTATTCTCATTTATGACCAGTCTTACAGTGTTCTCATTTATTACCAGTCTTACAGTATTCTCATTTATGACCAGTCTTACAGTGTTCTCATTTATGACCAGTCTTACAGTATTCTCATTTATGACCAGTCTTACAGTGTTCTTATTTATTACCAGTCTTACAGTATTCTCATTTATTACCAGTCTTACAGTGTTCTCATTTATGACCAGTCTTACAGTGTTCTCATTTATGACCAGTCTTACAGTATTCTCATTTATGACCAGTCTTACAGTGTTCTCATTTATGACCAGTCTTACAGTGTTCTCATTTATTACCAGTCTTACAGTATTCTCATTTATGACCAGTCTTACAGTGTTCTCATTTATTACCAGTCTTAGTGGTCCCATTTATGACCAGTCTTACAGTATTCTCATTTATGTCCAGTCTTACAATGTTCTCATTTATGACCAGTCTTACAGTGTTCTCATTTATGACCAGTCTTACAGTGTTCTCATTTATGACCAGTCTTACAGTATTCTCATTTATGACCAGTCTTACAGTATTCTCATTTATGACCAGTCTTACAGTGTTCTCATTTATGACCAGTCTTACAGTGTTCTCATTTATTACCAGTCTTACAGTGATCTCATTTGTGACCAGTCTTACAGTGTTCTCATTTATAACAAGTCTTACAGTGTTCTCATTTATGATTAGTCTTACAGTGTTCTCATTTATGACCAGTCTTAGTGGTCCCATTTATGACCAGTCTTACAGTGTTAATTAATAACTGGCCTTACAGTGTCCTTGTTGCTAGCATTGCCATTCTGTTTTTGTCATTTCTTACCAGTTGTAGTGTTCTCATTTGTGTCCAGCCTTACAGTGTTCTCATTTATGTCGTCTTACAATGTTCTCATTTATGACCAGTCTTACAGTATTTTCATTTCAGACCAGTCTTAGTGCTCTCATTTATGACCATTCTTACAGTGTTCAAACTACTGGACGTAAATTTGCCTAGAGAAACCACACCACAACCATGTGCTGCTGGGGTTGGTTCTGCAACATCCTGTAAAGGATATGCAACTAACTTACATTATTCTCATTTATGAACAGTCTTACAGTGTTCTCATTTATGACCAGTCTTACAGTGTTCTCATTTATGACCAGTCTTACAGTGTTTTCATTTATGACCTGTCTTACAGTGTTTTCATTTATGACCTGTCTTACAGTGTTCTCATTTATGACCTGTCTTACAGTGATCTCATTTGTGACCTGTCTTACAGTGTTCTCATTTATGACCAGTCTTACAGTGTTTTCATTTATGACCTGTCTTACAGTGATCTCATTTATGACCTGTCTTACAGTGTTCTCATTTATGACCTGTCTTACAGTGATCTCATTTATGACCGGTCTTAGTGATCTCATTTATGACCTGTCTTACAGTGATCTCATTTATGACCGGTCTTAGTGTTCTCATTTGTGACCTGTCTTACAGTGTTCTCATTTATGACCTGTCTTACAGTGTTCTCATTTATGACCTGTCTTACAGTGTTCTCATTTATGACCTGTCTTACAGCGTTCTCATTTATGACCTGTCTTACAGTGTTCTCATTTATGACCTGTCTTACAGTGTTCTCATTTATGACCAGTCTTACAGTGTTCTCATTTATGACCTGTCTTACAGTGATCTCATTTATGACCTGTCTTACAGTGATCTCATTTATGACCGGTCTTAGTGATCTCATTTGTGACCTGTCTTACAGTGTTCTCATTTATGACCTGTCTTACAGTGATCTCATTTATGACCTGTCTTACAGTGTTCTCATTTATGACCTGTCTTACAGTGTTCTCATTTATGACCAGTCTTACAGTGTTCTCATTTATGACCTGTCTTACAGTGTTCTCATTTATGACCTGTCTTACAGTGATCTCATTTATGACCGGTCTTAGTGATCTCATTTGTGACCTGTCTTACAGTGTTCTCATTTATGACCTGTCTTACAGTGATCTCATTTATCACCGGTCTTAGTGATCTCATTTGTGACCAGTCTTACAGTGATCTCATAAATGACTAGCTTTACATTTTTCTGTTTAATGTTTAGTCTTACAGTAAAATCTAGAACAGTATAGTGAGAAAAAAGTTTTACTTACATGTTTTGTGTTATGATGAAACCTTTTATTCATTAATATGAAGTTACACTTGTAAGTCATGTTGTGACTACGGTGAGCTTCCGGCGGCCAAAATACACACACACAATGTATCAGAAAAAACTATTCACATTTCCGTTGGATTTATTCTGTTTTATGCTTTATTTTATATTGAGATACAGCGAAATATGCCTGGCAATAAATTGTGCAATGTATTGTTTGTGTCTGCGTTATTTAAATTCATTACGGGAAAACATTGTTTTGAATATGTCTAGCGTATAGATATAAGGATATAAATTATATAGTCATAAGCTTAATCTGGTGCAGTAATTGTGTCATAACCTGTTATGTATATTGCTTTAGAAAACAATTTAATATTTTTGAAATTCAAACAGGTGGGCAAAATATATTTTGATTCTAAAAAAGAATGCAAGGACGATTGTTACGTCGGATTGCCAACATCATCGCCTGGTGAGTCTTATTTAGTCTTATATAAAGTTAGTTGTGTATCCTTTAGAGCAGGCATGTCCAACTGAGGTCCCCTCAGAGCATTATGGATCCAATTTTTTTCATCATGGGAGCCACACATGACAACTAGTTTGAGTTATTTGATTACAGTTATTGCAGAATTTATCCCTTGTGCATGCTGCAGGTGTGCATGCTGCAGGTGTGCTTGCTGCAGGTGTGCATGCTGCAGGTGTGCTTGCTGCAGGTGTGCATGCTGCAGGTGCGCCTGCTGCAGGTGTGCTTGTTGCAGGTGTGCCTGCTGCAGGTGTGCTTGCTGCAGGTGTGCTTGCTGCAGGTGTGCTTGCTGCAGGTGTGCTTACTGCAGGTGTGCTTGCTGCAGGTGTGCATGCTGCAGGTGTGCATGCTGCAGGTGTGATTGCGAAGGGCTGTCATTTTGAGGTGTCTGTTTTACAGGACATTGCAAACAAACCGCCATATTTGTTGTCTATTTGTGGTTTTACTAGGCAGTGGTACACTAAGTAATTTGCTGTTGCTTTCTGATTGGTCATCTGTTGATACCATTGTCAAAATCAACGCAAGGCGGTCTGATATATGTAAATATATTCTGTGTCAGTGTGTGTGTGTATGTGGGAATAAGACTGAGTCTTAATTATTTTGACAGAAAGACATGAAATAGTTCAGCCATTTTGGGAAAAAGTAGCCAAGACCAAACTGCATATGGGGCTTTTTACATCAGAACATCTGGAAGGAAGGCGAGGGGAAGACCAAGAAAGACATGGATAAATAATATAACTGAAACATGCAGAAAGATGAACAAATCTGTCACCCAGGCCACCCGGGCAGCACAAGACAAATACAGAAAACCACGACACTAGGCTACAGCCTGGTATCAGTGAGACGACAAAACCACGTCACTGGGCTACAACCTGATATCAGTGAGATGACAAAACCACGACACTGGGCTACAGCCTGGTATCAGTGAGACGACAAAACCAAGTCATTGGGCTACAACCTGATATCAGTGAGATGACAAAACCACGAAACTGGGCTACAACCTGGTATCAGTGAGAAGACAAAGCTACAACCTGGTATCAGTGAGAAGACAAAGCTACAACCTGGTATCAGGGAGAAGACAGAACCACGACAATGGGCTACAACCTGGAATCAAGGAGAAGACAGAACCACGACAATGGGCTACAACCTGGTATCAGGGAGAAGACAGAACCACGACAATGGGCTACAACCTGGTATCGGACAGCAGAAAATTCTGTGTTTATAGGACTTCATTTGTCTTTGGTAGCACTTTTGCCTACTGCTCTGAGTGTTTTGGCGTTGTATCACTGTAAAGCAGTGCAATGATTACCTTGGTAATCAAATGAGACATGAGCACGGTGGATACTGTCTAAATGTGCAAGGAAACTAGGGGATATTAAATGGTACATTTTTGGCTAGAAGAGACACAACTGAGACAGTCTTGCAAAGAAGACAGTTTGTGTACTTAGATAGACTGGACTTCGAGGACATTTGAATAAAAAAAAGATGGGAATGGCTTGACATGTTTCATGTCCAGTTCTTCATTAAAATGTTCTCCAGCTTTGACCTTTAAAAGAACGAAGAACACATTGTGTTGTCATTCACTGCCATGCTGCACCTGTCAGCCTGCGCATCCAATTTCAACAAATGCTTATGCCCGGCACTCCAGTGTAGTTGGCTAAACCGGAGTGCGCGGTGACCGGGGGATAAACTCCTTGTGGTCTGGGTTCACTCCCGAGGGTAGACATAAAAGCCACATTTTCTCCCAGATTTACGGTATTTACAATGGAATCAAGGCTGAAAGGTTGCGATATCCATAATACCGGGCCTAAGGGTTAACAACTCATGGCTTCTGGATACTAAAACAAACAAACAACAACAACATGCTTATTTAATCCTCATTTATGAAATGCTCATTAAGGACTTTTTTTTAACGCCGTCAGACGTATTGGGAATAAAGGGCTATTCAATATATTATAGACCAATTAGTACAATGGTGGGTGTGGTCAGCATCACGCCGGTCGCCTTTACTTCCCAGGACCCCAACTGGTACGCATTTAAGGCTGTGTCAACCTAGAAGCCAAGGTCATTTTCGAAAAAAGTGCCTAGCTTTGTTGGGTCTTGAACCCACAACCTTCGGATCTGCAGGTGAATGTCTAGCCGCTGCACCACGACGGCTTGCGTACCCATGTGGGTTGTGCGTACAAACCACAGAATATGTCAAACAAGACTGTTCTCCTTGCTGTCCATATATAAGGGAATTCTAGCACAGTAAGTTGACACCACACTCAAAGTTGTATGGAGGAACTCCCAGAAACAGTTGTATAAGAACTCATTTGTGAGTGTATATCACACATGCAGTCACAAGAAGAAGAAGAAGAAGAAGGTACTTGTTAGTTATTTATTTGGCTGATGTGCAGAATGGATGTACTTGACCTTGTTTGCATGTCCCCGTCTGCAGCTGGGCACCAGTGGCTGCTGGGAGTGGGTCTAGATCGAGATGTCGCTGACACAGACCAGTATCTCTTCACCAAGTTTCAGCAGAAGTGGAACCGATTGGAGAATTTACAACAGAATATGTAGGTTCCATTTATGTGTCATTCGCTGCCTGTGTCATTGTGAGAGCATGTGTGTGTGTACATCTCTCTCTCTCTCTGTCTCTCTCTCTCTCTCTCTCTCTCTCTCTCTCTCTCTCTCTCTCTCCCCCCCCCCCTCCCTCTCTCTTTCTGTCTCTCTCTTCCTCCCTCCCTTTCTCTCTCTCTCTCTCTCTCTCACTCTTTCTCTTCCTCCCCACTTCCTTCTGTCTCACTCTCTTACATTTGTACAGTGCTTCAGCACTTTGTACAGTGCTTCAGTTTTGCCTCTATTTGATTCTCTCACAGTTGACAGATACACACCTCATACAAATATCCCAAGGAGTATCGACTGCCAACTACCCTAAACAGGAATCTGTAGTTTGTTTGTTGTGAGCCATTTTAGATGCAGGTCAAGCATAGAATTGACCACATCACCTGCTGTGCCAATTTATCTTTAAAATACAGTTAGCCCCATATGCTGGATGTGCTTCATTTTTTTTTTAAAATAATAAGCGCTGCTTTGGTTATGTTTCTCTTGTACAGAGCTCATAATCATTGTTATTGTTCCTTAGTGCTATTATTATATGTTACATATGGTTCGCAGTCTACTCCCCTGTTCAGTCCTATCCTGTGCCGTCACTTCGATATCTTGGATGGAATCTAGTTCAGCACCTCTAGCTTCTCTCATCAGTGTTTCCCTTGGACATCCTTGTTTCATCAGTCCCTCTATTTCCCATTTCAGCACCTGTGTGGTGATTCTCTGTTCTTCTTGTCTCAGAATCTTTTTAATTTAGCTGTTACAGAGGTTGCATGTCAATAAGTTTTTTTTTTTTTTTTTAAGCTGTTCACAGCCCATCACTTGACTGTTGTTCTGTTTTGTAACTACAGAGCCAATGTCACTTTTGTCCTTGACACCAACCAATTTTCTGTTTTCTATCTACAGAGCCAATGTCACTATTGTCCTTGACACCAACCAATTTTCTGTTTTCTATCTACAGAGCCAATGTCACTATTGTCCTTGACACCAACCAATTTTCTGTTTTCTATCTACAGAGCCAATATTGTCGTTGACACCAACCAATTTTCTTTTTTCTATCTGCAGAGCCAATGTCACTATTGTCCTTGACACCAACCAAGTGTGGGGTTTTTTATTTTCTGCTCAAGCTTACCTACAGTGGCCTACGCTTGTCCGGAAGTCCAGGATCAAATATCCTCTCACCCAGATAGGAAACTTGTCTGTAAGTTGTCAGTGCTGTATTATTTATTCAAAAATTTTATAACTCAATAACAAAATTTGTCTTTCAGATTCGTTTTGCGTTATTGTAAAATTTTCTAACTCCGAAATAAAATTATGTTGAGTTATTGTATTAACGAATTAACGACCAAACTTTATTTTAAAAGATTTTAGAAGAATTTGTCTAACCCTGTATGCCCAATACACCTCAGGGTGTTAAAAAGGTTTTTTTTTAACTACTGAGTTTTTAATCTTTTTATTTATTTATACATATTGTACATCTTACATGAAGAGTGTTGCTACGGCCTCATTTTTCAGTGAAGTTTGGCTTCCTGTATAACAGACACAAACACAAATGGATTGAAACGCATTATTGCACCCGAAAAGATTATTTCCCATTTGTTGACTATTGAGCTTAGACCTACTAACTACTGTTCATTTTTTCATGTGAATGGAAGGCAAGTGAAAGGAGGTCTGGCTTCAGTCAGCAACTCTTACTTGCAAGTTGTAATTTGGAGGTTGTCTGTTGTCTACCTTGAATCAGTTAACAGGAAACAAATCCTTTCACCCTGGTTACTCTTAAAGAATAAGACTGTGAAATTAAATTTCCTCTTCCCTCCTACATCTTTTATCATCAATCCTTTTTTTTACAAGCAGCTGGAAAATAATGAATAGTGTTTTTTTTTTTTTTTTTTTTTTAAACTTCAGATTTGCGCAATAGTTTTTTTTTTCTTTCTTTTGTAAAGAAAACAAAGGAGAAGGCAGTAAATACAAACGGAGGGGAGAACTAAATGAAATACATTCCCTGGTGCTTGAAAACACTAATACAGTCACTCACACTGTAACCCCCATTGCTATGCAATGACTACAGACCAATTATGACATCATACTGACTTGAAAAGCAATTTTTTTGTTGTCTACAGTAAAGTGTGTTACCATTGTGTTGTCTGAGTGTTAAAGTGATGTTGTCTGTTGTTTGCTGCGCATGTGTTGCCTGTTGTTTGCTACCACTGTGTTGAGTGTTACAGTAATGTTGTCTGTTGTTTGCTGCGGGTGTGTTATCTGTTGTTTGCTACCACTGTGTTGAGTGTTACAGTAATGTTGTCTGTTGTTTGCTGCGGGTGTGTTATCTGCTGTTTGCTACCACTGTGTTGAGTGTTACAGTAATGTTGTCTGTTTTTTGCTGCGGGTGTGTTATCTGTTGTTTGCTACCACTGTGTTGTCGAGTGTTACAGTGATGTTGTTTGCTGCGGATTTGTTGTCTGTTGTCTGCTACCACAATGTTGTCGAGTGTTACAGTGATGTTGTTTACTGTGGATGTGTTGTCTATTGTGTGCTACCACTGTGTTGTCGAGTGTTACAGTGATGTTGTCTGTTTGCAGGTATCAGACTTTATCATAGAGAACCCTGGAGATGAAACTGTATTATTTCAAGTTCTTCCACTCTCTCTGTATCCGAACCCTCATACAATCCTAGATCTGCTGGGTCATGGGTGAGTTGCTTGTTGTCATTGCCAGTTGCTACACATCCGGCTGCTTTGCCAATTACTACTACACATCTTGCTGCCTTGCCAGTTGCTACACATCTTGCCACCTTGCCTGTTGCTACACATCCTGCTGTCTTGCCAGTTGCTACACATCTTGCTGCCTTGCCTGTTACTACACATCCTGTTGTCTTGCCAGTTGCTACACATCTTGCCGCCTTGCCTGTTGCTACACATCCTGCTGTCTTGCCAGTTGCTACACATCTTGCCGCCTTGGCTGTTACTACACATCCTGCTGTCTTGCCAGTTGCTACACATCTTGCCACCTTGCCTGTTGCTACACATCCTGCTGCTTTGCCAGTTGCTACACATCTTGCTGTCTTGCCTGTTGCTACACATCTTGCTGCCTTGCCTGTTGCTATACATCTTGCTGTCTTGCCTGTTGCTACACATCTTGCTGCCTTGCCTGTTGCTACCCTGTTGCTACACATCTTGCTGCTTTGCCAGTTACTACACATCTTGCTGCCTTGCCTGTTGCTACACATCTTGCTGCCTTGCCTGTTGCTACACATCTTGCTGCCTTGCCTGTTGCTACACATCTTGCTGCCTTGCCAGTTGCTACACATCTTGCTGCCTTGCCTGTTGCTATACATCTTGCTGTCTTGCCTGTTGCTACACATCTTGCTGCCTTGCCTGTTGCTACCCTGTTGCTACACATCTTGCTGCTTTGCCAGTTACTACACATCTTGCTGCCTTGCCTGTTGCTACACATCTTGCTGCCTTGCCTGTTGCTACACATCTTGCTGCCTTGCCTGTTGCTACACATCTTGCTGCCTTGCTTGTTGCTACACATCTTGCTGCCTTGCCAGTTGCTACACATCTTGCTGCCTTGCCTGTTGCTACACATCTTGCTGTCTTGCCATTTGCTACACATCTTGCTGCCTTGCCAGTTGCTACACATTTTGCTGGCTTTGCCAGTTGCTACTACACATCTTACTGCCTTGCCAGTTACTTCTAAACATCTTACTGCCTTACCAGTTACTACTAAAAATCTTGCTGCCTTACCAGTTACTACTACACATCTTGCTGCCTTACCAGTTACTACTACACATCTTGCTGCCTTACCAGTTACTACTACACATCTTGCTGCCTTACCAGTTACTACTACACATCTTGCTGCCTTACCATTTACTACTACACATTGTCAGAGGCCAGTTCGGCTATGGGAAGCACAACAGATGTCCTATAGTGAATCATCACGTTTGTACGAGTTGACCTTCAGTACAACTCAGTATGTGAACGGACAGCTCGTCCACGCAATAAGCCGTGCCCAGTTTAGAGGCCAGGTCGAATTCACTCAGCTGACACTGAGTGCTGCGGACTGAGCCATGAACTCTGCGGAAATACAAAAGGCTTTGTCCAAGCGGGTTTGAGGAGAGTTGTGTGCGGACAGTTGTGTGCTGGTCGACAGAGAGAGACAGGACGAAAACATTGCGACGAGGTAACGGTTAGGGTAGCAACGGTTAGGCTGAAATAGGATATTCGTATTTAGTGTCTATGATAGGCTGTATTTGTATTTAATGTTTCGTCTAGATAGTATAGAGAGTTAAGGTTCTTTGTGTAGTAGACATTCCATGCAGTATTTGTTTGAGCAGTTAATCGAGGTGACGCACCTTGTAATGGCGATACCACTGCCCTGGCACACTTAGGCCATACACCTTCCGTGTATCGCTGGAGTCCCGTCTTGCAATAGACGGCGGATTGATTGGCACTGAGACACTGCCAGCTAAGAGTCGTGCTCCCCTAGATCCATGGGAGCTGGCCTGGGGTGACTAGTGATTGTAAAGCTGTCATCGCCAAGGCAGTTTCGGATGGGAGCTGCTTAGCCCAGTTGAAGTGTTATACGTCTAATGTTCATTGTACATCAAAGATTATGGTTGTACTCAGCAGGAGTGTCGTCTTAAGTGTGTCTGGGTAGTAGAGTCTGTCAGCTGGCCTACCTAGCAAGCCATATAAAATAAGTAGTGTAGATTAGGTCCCTGACACACATCTTGCTGCTTTGCCAATTGTTACACGTCTTACTGCCTTACCAGTTACTACTACACATCTTGCTGCCTTATCAGTTACTACTAAACATCTTGCTGCTTAGCCAGTGGCTACACATCTTCTGCCTTGCCTGTTGCTATACATCTTGTTGCTTTGCCTGTTGCTACACATCTTCTGCCTTGCCTGTTGCTACACATCTTACTGCCTTGACAGTTACTACTAAACATCTTCTGCCTTGCCAGTTGATACTACATATCTTGCTGCCTTACTAGTTGCTGCTACACATCTTGTTGCCTCATCTGTTACTGCTACACATCTTGTTGCTTCACCTCTTGTTACACATCTTGCTGTTTTGCTAGTTGCTACACATCTTGTTGCCTCACCTGTTGCTACACATCTTGTTGCCTCACCTGTTGCTACACATCTTGTTGCCTCACCTGTTGCTACACATCTTGTTGTCTCACCTCTTGCTACACATCTTGTTGCCTAACCTCTTGCTACCCATCTTGCTGCCTTGCCTCTTTCTACACATCTTGCATATTCTCTTGCTACCCATCTTGCTGCCTTGCCTCTTGCTACCCATCTTGCTGCCTTGCCTCTGGCTACACATCTTGCCTCACCTCTTGCTGCTACACATCTTGCTGCCTCACCTCTTGCTACCCATCTTGCTGCCTCACCTGTTGCTGTTACACATCTTGTTTCCTCACCTCTTGCTACACATCTTGCCAGTTGCTACACATCTTGTTGGCCTTGCCTATTGCTACAACACATCTTGCTGCTTAGCGATTGTGGAGCTGATTGCACCAGTCTTTAAAAACACTAGACTACAGATTCTTAGTTGGTCACAGCTTATACTATCTGCCAGAGACTAGATAAAAGATCCTGGCCTGTTTACGAGGCATCAGAGGCATGCATTTATACAAAGTCTCCAACAAACATGACTGGATGGATACTCACACCAAATGGTCTCTGCAAGACATTGTGTCATATTGCAACATGTTCACGTTTTTCAGTGTAGGAAACACGCACACACACACACACACACACACACACACATATATATATATATATATATATATATATAAATATATATTTATATATATATATATATATATATATATATATATATATATATATATATATATATATATATATATATATATATACATATATATATTAATATATATATTAATATATATATATATATATATATATATATACATATACATATATATTATTCATATATATATATATATATATATATATATATATATATCAAGAACAGTGTGTCATATTCCAACATATGTTCACGTCTTCCAGTGTAGGAAACACATATATGTATGTATCTCCCTGAAACTTGGCACTAGAACTGTGCTCCAAAATTGAATTATGCTGCCAACAGAGACGCAGTCTGGCCGGATCCGACCTGAATAAAGACAAAGCTGTAGGGCACACAGGAAGATTTGGACTGCACAATATCTTTTATCAAGGCTAAGAGCCTTCTGCTGTACATTTTCTGACAGAAAGATCTAAGAAGAAGAAGAAGGGGGAAGAGGGGGAGGGTATGTCTATTCTTTTCCCTTTACAAAGGGACCCCTCATAGGGAGCATTATATGAATTATCTGCTATGCTCTATGTCTGTGTGCTCACTGCTGGTTTCTTATCTTTTGCAAGCCTCAGCCAGGACCTCACAGATTACGTGGACACTGATGATACCAATACTTTTGTGCTGTATGACCTGGAGCCCATATCTGTAAGAAGTACTGCTGTGTCATATGTTGTGTTGGATGTCTTGTACATTTTTGGAACTGTAATTATGTGTACAAACTTGTCTTGTTTTCTCTCTCTGTCAGAATTACTTTAATTCATATAGATGTATAACAATAAATAAATAAGATAACTATCGCCAAAAGTTTCTTTGAGTAAGGCATTAGGAAAAATCATACTTTAAAGGTTATTCAGCAGTTTGAATTGGGAAAAAATGTACGTCTGTGTTGTGCCCTTGTTTATTCAGTCATCTCATTGTTGTATCAGTGACATGCCATTCATTGCATTCTCTCATTGTTGTATCAGTGACATGCCATTCATTGCATTCTCTCATTGTTGTATCAGTGACACGCCATTGCTCATTGCATCCTCTCATTGCTGCCTCAGTGACATGCCATTGTTCATTCCATCCTCTCATTGTTGTATCAGTAACATTCCATTGTTGATTGCATCCTCTCATTGTTACATCAGTGACACGACATTGTTAATAACATCCTAATAATAACATATATATACATCAGTAACATGCCATTGTTTATTGCATCCTCTCATTGTTAAAAAATACAATCCTAACCTGCCCAGTTGGATGGCGACAGTACTAACCATGAGGCCCTTGATCCTCAGACACACCCCTAATCCTGGTCTTAAACACAAAAGTGGTAGACACAGTCAGTAATTGGCATTTTTTCGGCAGTTGACATTGTTACATCAGTCCCATGTCATTGCTCACTTTACCCACATTTCCTTTTCCTTTTTTTTTTTTCAGCAGAAGAGTGCAGGTGCTTCGGCAGCAAATTTATCTCAGCATCGGAAGAATGTGGAGAGCACACTGGGTGTCATTCCTCATAAAAAGACCATAGCCGGTTTGCTGCAGCCGGGCGGTAAAATCAAAGTCAAAGTTGGCTTCCAGCCCAAAGATGACCTGGCCAGATCATCTCTTATAGTTATCAGGTGAGTCCTGCTATTTCCATGTTGTCTGTCATAGAATGTAAGCACTCTGTCCTCGTCATAGGGGTCAGAGAGTTGAAAATTTTTTTTAAAGCATGTTAGGTTACAAGATCAAACAAAAGTTATCCCTTGTGGATTCAGAATGCCCAGGTTTTTATGGGGGAGGGATAGACACCCCCCATCCCCCCCCCCCCTTTTCCCCTAAAAAAAGCATGACTTAAAAGGTGACTATTTGAGGATTTGCCGAAATTTGTATAGTTGGGCTGATAGGCACAGATATCACAGCCTAGCTGTAAACCACAACACATTGTGCTAACATAAGATAACGAGGAATAAAATATTTCAGAATCTAACTTTAATTTGTGTAGGAAATTAGTGCAAACTTTAAATTGTCACCATATGGGGACAGGGTGAAGGTGTCTGGGATCAGTTTGATGATGCTGTGGGGCAGTATATATATCGTCAAGGCCGACTTTTAATCAGGTAACAGCTGGCATCTTGGACAGCCAAAAAGAGCAACCAAGAGGTTTTGAAAGAGGCGGGCGCCCGAAGACAACTTTTCACAGACATCAGAAGGAGACATCATTTTTCTGCCATGTTATGAGAAGGAGGAAAATGGATAATGTTGTGACTATTGGAAAGATCTGTGGAAGGAGGGATAGAGGAAGACAACGAGGGAAGATTCTTGACAGTCTTGTTGCATGGGATGGAGGTGTGTCAGCATATGAACTGATACATGCTGCAGGAGATCGCAGATTGTGGAGAGGCATGATCGCCCACGCCAGCTGGCAAGGCACCTGATGATGATGATGAATACTGGCACCCTCACTATGGGAACTCACTCTTGTTTCGGCCACTGAAGAAAGAAGACAGAGCACCTATGAGAATGTTATGAGTGCAGAGATGTCAGTTCTGGATTGGATTCAGTCATGTTGACACATACCAGTTAGTTGTCTGTATCATAACATTATGCCCACTCTGTGTATGAATGACAGCCATTTTTACCCCCTTATAATGTTTCTTTGCACTGTCATTTCAGGAACAATCTGACCATTATAGATGCAGTCGTCGTCCAGGGTCAGGGGCGCAGAGGTGAAATGCGGTTCAATAATAAAAAGCCAGGCTCTCACTCAGCCTTAACCTTTGAGATGACAGAAAAGCATCTCAAAAATTGTGACAGTAAGTTGTAAATTTGTTCGGTTATTTTCTTTCATTACACAGATCCAAGTATGTGTAGGGCAAGCACACACACACACACACACACACATATGCGTGCACATACACACACACACACACACATGCGTGCACATACACACACATGCGTGCACACACACACACACACACACACACATGCGTGCACACACACATGCGTGCACACACACATACACAAGCAGAGAGAGAGATGACATTTTTGACCCCAGTCATTCTCCACAATATAGAATCACATTTAGCAGGGGGAGCAGTTGTTTCAAACACTTTTTTGATGTAGCTGAGGTTTTTCTATCAACAGACTTTTATTGTTTAAAAATTGTATGTTAGAATCTCTATAGCTAGTGTCTCAAAGCAGCCGGGTCGATGTCTTGTCAGTAGACTGGCCAGCTTTAAAAAAATTTATGATGAAGGACAAGTTTTTCAGGGACTTGAGTGGTGCACACACATCCGTTTTACAGATCTGGCTTATCTGTATGCAGACTGTTGGTCCCTTTCTTCTCGGTCAGATGCACTCCTAATTCAAAGAAAACGTAGACCCCCATCTACTTTACCCAGGCTCCTGGTTTGGAACCAGTTTCTAGGGTGATCGCCGAGATCATAAGTGCTGGTCCTGGTGTTCCACCATGTGTAGTCTCCCTGTCTCCCTCTTAAAATGTTCAGTCGATCTTGTTACCTTTATTTTACAGACATTTTGCAAGTTGCCTAATTTTAGAGACATTTTGCAAGATACCTAATCTTGGAGTCATTTTGTAAGATACCTAATTTTAGAGACATTTAGCAAATTTCCTAAATTTTGAGACATTTTGTATGTTACCCCATTTTAGAGACGTTATGCAAGATACATAATTTTAAGGACATTTTGCAAGATACCAAGTTTTGGAGACATTTTTCAAGATGCCTAATTTTAAGGACATTCTGCAAGTTAACTAAGTTGGGAGACATTTCACAAGATACCTAATTTTAGAGACATTTTTCAAGTTACCTAATTTTAGACACGTTTTGTGTGATACCTAATTTTAGAGACATTTGATGTTTAGTTATCTTCATTGATGTTTATTTTACTCATGTTAGTCATTGAAAGAAAATCCCAGCACATTACTACAAATATGTTCTTATAGTTGGAGTTTTGAAATCTTGTCTAGCTGAAATCAAGAAACAAAACAAAAACATGATGCCAAATTTTACTGTGCGCCGGCCGTTCACGCTGAGGAACACCGGAGAGCTGCCATTTTATATCCATGGATTCAGCATCAATGAGCTGCCTTGTGAAGGCTATGGATTCAAGGTTCTAGATTGTTCTGGGTTTGAGCTGCCCCCAAATTCAAGTCGTAAGATCAACATAGCGTAAGCCATTTCTGTCGTTGGTGTTCTTTTTTGTTTGTCTTGTTACAAATTTTGCCTCATGTTGTTGTTTTGTTTCATTCCAATTGTACAGAATAATTGTAGATATTTCCCATACTAATGCAATAATGAACAATTAGTCAGTATCGTGTGCTGCACTAGTAAGTGTGTGAATGATTATATTTCATCATCACCCATGATCCGTAGAGACTGAATTGATGTTCTCTTTCCTATATTGCATCATATTGCCATTCCAATCAGCATTTTTCGATAATTTTCTCTTTTGTTCATTTCCCTTGATGTTTGCCACTTATTGTGAAGCTTTTAAGTTTGCCAGTCTCTTCTATTTCTTCTTCTGCTTCTTCTTCTTCTTCTTCTTCTCCTTTTTTTTTTTTTTAGGTAGTCTTTTATATATATATTTTATATTCCCATATATATATATATATATATATATATATATATATATATATATATATATATATATATATATATATATATATATATATATATATATATATATATATATATACGCACACACACACACGCACGGGACACACGACACACATATATATAAAATATATATATATATATTTTTTTTAATATATAGATGGAAGGAAGGCTATGCTTGAAACATTTCCCTCTCTCTATGTATGCATCTTTCTTTTTGTCAGATATACCATTCCTAATTTGTGATACGCTTATTTATTATGTTGTCTTCATCTCTTCAGTTATTTCTATGTTAATGATTTCTTTGAAATGGGTGAGTATGATGATTATGGTGTCAACCTATATTGCGTGTCTAAGACCTACCTCGTATTGATGAAGCTCTAGCACTTCAACAGTTTATGCAGTGAGGTTTAGTATTTTTCCCCCCAGTTTTCTTTGGCATAGACTTATTGGGGAACACTCTAGTACATCATATTCTTTAGTCTATCATATTCTTGTATGTGGCAGGGTCTGTGTGTGATTGCTTTATAATCTGGTTGATTTGTAGTCTGACTGATGTCATATACTCTTGGGGCCTGTAACTGGTGCCTCAGTAGATGAATGATAAGATTGATGTGTGATTTGAATGATTTCTGGTGTGATCAGTGTCAGAATGGATTTATGTGTGGTGTAACAAATGTGTGATGTGAATGATTTATGGTAGGATCATTGCCTGAATTGATTGATGTGTGATATAAGAACCGTGTAATGTGAATTGTAATTAATGCCTGAATGCGTTTATTTGTGATATGACAGATGGTAATGATGGTTGGAGTTTTAAATGCTTGTATAGAAAAAATAATATGATGTAAAAGTGATTAAGCCTACTTAGATGTGTGACATGACAAATGTTTAATGTTGTTGTGTATTCCACCCACAGATTCACTCCAGATTTTACCATGTCCCAGATTCAGCGAATGCTGACAATTCACACCAGTTTAGGGCCGCCCGCCCACGAGGCCAACTACTCACTACAGGCCATGGTGCCCTATGATCTTCTCTCCCAGTGTTCGGCAGCCCTGCCTCGCCCCAACTGGGAACCTTATCTGTACTACGTGATTGTTTTTCTCATGGCCATAATCATTACGTGCATTATGGGCCTGGCATATGTCGAATCCGACAGGGTCCTAGCAGATTATATACGTAAAAAGTTGCGGGCCAGCAATGGCACGCTGACGTTCGACAAAGGGAAGATATTTGATTTAAAATACGTTGGTGCACTAGTTTCAAACTCAGTCCCAAATAATAACAACACGCCCACACCGAGTGCCCCTGCGGGAAAAAGTACTGTCACAAATATTACCAGTCAAATACCGAATGGTCGGCCTTTACTGAATGGGTACATTGATTCTGAGAAAGATAAAGGAACATTGAGTCAGCTTCACTGTCATGCAAGTAGTATTCTAAACGCACCAGCAGCATCTTCAGTAAAGGCGAGTACACATAATGGCAGCAGAAACCTCAAACATACTTACTTAGGCAGTCTTTTTAAGGTGGTCAAGAACTTTTCATTGTTTAAATATTTTAATTCTCCCAAGAAGGTTCCGCCCGTTCAGTCGGAGAAGCCCACAACTAAAGACTCTGGCACATCGCCACCCAGCCCGGTACAGAAACCCACTGCAACAGTTGCCGCTTTGAGGCAAGAGCCGGCAGTGACCACCACAAATTCTAATCTTCACGAGAACAACATACTTTCAGAGAAATCCATACCGGTCAGTAGCAGTTACTCATCACGTGGCCGCAAAGGCAAGCTCAACGGCCGTCGTCAGATCATAGTCGATGCTTCTGGTGATACCACTTCTGACCAGGCTTTAAAGAAACTTCGAGAGAATAAAGATCAGCCTGCACAGGACTTGAACCACACCAAGCGGAGCACCACAGCCCTGATTGATGATTTTGCTGAGGCCCCTGTAAGCAAGTATAATTCTGCCATGGACCAGCTCGATGAATTGGATGATATTGATGTCAAGTTGGATATGTGCACTTCTAAAGTGGGTGAGTTCCCTTTGGTTTCACATGTATCATTTGTGTGTGTGCTATCACCATTTAAAACATGGTTTCATTTATATCAATTTGCATATAGCTAGCGACAAACTATTTATGTCAGTTTCTGTCAGCGGTAAAGGAATCTTTTCCATACCGTCGGGCATATAGGGCTAGACCAATATTTTTTAGACCACTCGGCAGTTGATGATGTGGTCAGCTTCACACTAGCCACTTTTACTTTCCATGACTTTTCCTGGTACCTACTTAAAGCTTGGTTTGTCTAGGAGACAAGCAATTTTTTAGAGAGAGCAGTTTGAATCCATGACCTTCACATCCGCATGTCTAGCCACTACACCCTGTCTGTGGTGACACTATTATTTTAATCAGTTTGTGTTTCTGCCACTGGTGACAAAATATCATTTATATCAGTTTGTGTTACTGCCACTGGTGACAAAATATCATTTATATCAGTTTGTGTTACTGCCACTGGTGACAAAATATCATTTATATCAGTTTGTGTTTCTGCCACTGGTGACAAACTATCATTTATATGTTTGTGTTACTGCCACTGGTGACAAAATATCATTTATATCAGTTTGTGTTACTGCCACTGGTGATAAAATATCATTTATATCAGTTTGTGTTTCTGCCACTGGTGACAAAATATCATTTATATGTTTGTGTTTCTGCCACCGGTGACAAAATATCATTTATATGTTTGTGTTTCTGCCACCGGTGACAAAATATCATTTATATGTTTGTGTTTCTGCCACTGGTGACAAAATATCAATTATATCAGTTTGTGTTACTGTAACTGGTGACAAAATATCATTTATATCAGTTTGGGTTACTACCACTGGTGATAAAATATTATTTATATCAGTTTGTGTTTCTGCCACTGGTGACAAAAAATCATTTATATCAGTTTGTGTTACTGCCTCTGGTGACAAAATATCATTTATATCAGTTTGTGTTTCTGCCACTGGTGAAAAAATATCATTTATATCAGTTTGTGTTTCTGCCACTGGTGACAAAATATCATTTATATCAGTTTGTGTTTCTGCCAACTGGTGACAAAATATCATTTATATCAGTTTGTGTTTCTGCCACTGGTTACAAAATATCATTTATATCAGTTTGTGTTACTGCCACTGGTGACAAAATATCATTTATATCAGTTTGTGTTTCTGCCACTGGTGACAAAATATCATTTATATCAGTGTGTGTTACTGCCACTGGTGACATAATATCATTTATATCAGTTTGTGTTTCAGTCACCGGTGAAAACACGATATCATTTATTTTTGTGGCATTGAAAAGTTGAGTGATAACAGGAATGTTGGACATAAATTGAGGCAAGGTGAGATCAGCAGGGAAAATGTTGAACAGTGTGGCATCGAAGCATGGAGTAATACATGTTGACAAAATGGTTGGGAGAGTACCTGGCTAGAATAGAAGGATATAGACAGACAGCGTGATCAGTGCTACCTGTCACAGGCTGTAAGAAAAAGAGCTAAATTCAAAAGTTATAATGCAAACATATTGTTATCTCCTCCATCCGTGGTTCACCCTTAAACAGAGTAGTTGGCCTGCTATGTTGTCTTTTCTAGCTAGGTTGCAATATATGCAACTTTTGTCTGAACCTATCAGCAAATCCTTAGTTAAAAGTTGAGAGAGTCAATTTCATTGCACAGGGTTTTATCCCGTGTGACGTGGTCTAACTCTGCAGAACAGCTAAACATTTCAGTATGTGTTTCTATCACCAGTGAAAATATAAAATCATGTTCTTTTAAGTGATTGGGGAAAGGGGGGGGGGGGAGGTAGAGTGATAATAGGAAAGTTGGAAGTAAATTGAGGCATGGGAAGACAAAGAGGGAAGATGTTCTGTGGCTGCAAAATTCTTAATTAGTTGCCTTTTATGATATGCTTGTTAAGGAGCGGTGGGTCTGTTCTTCCTGCCTCTCATAAATAGGGTCACGGGATGTACACAGAGAAAATATTGAATAGGCATGCAGGGTTCTGGTTTACAGGCATGCAGGGTTTTGGTTTACAGGCATGCAGGGTTTTGGTTTACAGGCATGCAGGGTTTTGGTTTACAGGCATGCAGGGTTTTGGTTTACAGGCATGCAGGGTTTTGGTTTACAGGCATGCAGGGTTCTGGTTTACAGGCATGCAGGGTTCTGGTTTACAGGCATGCAGGGTTTTGGTTTACAGGCATGCAGGGTTTTGGTTTACAGGCATGCAGGGTTTTGGTTTACAGGCATGCAGGGTTTTGGTTTACAGGCATGCAGGGTTCTGGTTTACAGGCATGCAGGGTTCTGGTTTACAGGCATGCAGGGTTCTGGTTTACAGGCATGCAGGGTTCTGGTTTACAGGCATGCAGGGTTCTGGTTTACAAACAGACGTAGAAATGAGTCATTGATTCTGTTCACATTAACAGGGAAACCCCGCACAGGCAGACATGTCAAATCCAAGAACAAGAACGATATCAACAAAGAGAGAACTCTCCTGTGTCATGATGGTACTTTAGCTGATGATGGAGATGATGTCTCCTCCACGACCACAGAATCCTCTGCAGGAGATGCAGATGATAAGGTAATTTGCTGAGTTGCAGGTAGAACTAGGTTAAGGTTTAGATGAGGGATCAACATCTTGGCACAAGGGTGGTAACTAAGTGTTCCGTTCTACTTTTAACCCAAGCCTGATTCTGAAAAATCTCAGCTCTGTGCATGAACTCCGCAGCACCAGTGAGGATCCTGAAATACTTAGGGTAGATTTTTAACTCCAAGTTTTGCCCAGGCAGCACCATAAGGCTACTTTTTCATTTTCCAACTGCCAGAGGATTTTTTTTTACCTGCGCAACTTCACATCTTTTACACTCCAGTCCCAGAAAGGTAATCCTATTGAAATTGCTCCTTGTTTGTGTTGGATTGATACACGTCATTAAATTTTGAATGTGGGATTAATAGTCTTCGGAATCTGTTTCTGTCAAATTTAAAAGGACCTCAGTTATTGTATGAAAGTGCTTTCTCTGTGGTTTCAGATTCCTATTATGGGGAAAACAAGATTAGATCCACTGTCTCTCCAACAGACATATTGTAAGAGTAGACTAGTTTAGGGCTTTCTTCAAAGTCGGAGTGTATTTGCCTGAGAGGCAAGGAACCAACAGACAAACCAGATCTGTGGAACAGATGTGCATGCAACACTCAGGTTCTTTAACAAGACCAAAGTCTAGAAGTGGATGAACAACCAGAACTTTCCGCCAGAGGTTATATACAGTTGGCGAATGTGAAGAAGAAGAAGTATGAAAGTTCATACTGCTTAGCAGAATGTTAGTTCACCTTCCTGTTTTTACACATGATTGGAGTTGGACTTGGCCTGCTTGACTCTGCCAGTTTGTATGCAGGTGTTAAAACTTGTTTGTGAAAGATTTTTTCTGCACTCTCAAATTTACAGGGATCAGTAAAATCTTTGAAGTAAAATATTGTATATGTAACGAAAAAACAAAATTGAAGATATTTTTCTCTGCACCCTATAGTTGTAGAGAAGTAATGAATTTGGTCATGCAAATAAACATCATATACAGTGTTAATTTTCAGCAGATCCACAAGATATCAGACAGGAATCCTTCTCCTCTTTGTTTAGGTTTGTGGCAGCAGTGAAGACAGTGACAGTAACAAATTAAGACAGTATTTGTGGCAGCAGTGAAGACAGTGACATTAACAAATTAAGACAGTATTTGTGGCAGCTTTTTGATTCTCCTTTCTTCCTTTTCATCTGTGGCTAGAGATCATCATCATTTACCTTGCCAGATATCATACACATTTTTGTCAATCCACAGATGTTGATCTTTGATGGTTTTTCAGTCAGCTCGCCCAGTGTGGGTTTGGCAGCCCCATTTTTGGGGAGAACAGAATAGATCATCTGCCCCTTTAAGCATGTCCTAAGAGTGACTAATTATGGGTGTTGTCAGTAGAGTTTATTGGTCTGACAAAGATTTAACAAAATTAACAAAACATCTTTTCCCCCCTTCATTATGCCAAGAAAGGAGATGTCTGAGAAGATCTGTACCAGTGGCCAGAAGGTAAAAGACAGGAATTAGGTTGTAAGAGAAAAGTGGCATAGAATTACATACAAAAACAGATGAAAAGAGAAGGATGTAAAACTGCGAGGTAGACCTAGTACAAAATGGAAAGATAATATCAGAGAAACTCTTCAACAACACAATCTGTCTTTGGTCAAAACCCTCATGGTAAAAAAGGAAATGCAGAAGAAGAAAATTATCACAAGGAAAGTAGAGGAACTGCATAGCAAGAAAAAATTTATATATTTTTTAATTTTGCAAATGTGTAATTTTTTTTTTTTTTTTTTCATTCTAGAATTCGCTGAACCAAGACAATACTTCCGACATTACCACCTCCATTGAGAGCAGCTCTGCCAGCAGCAAGAGATGGAGGAAAGGCTCCAACAGACACATGGAACGTCTGGTTGTAGCCACTCATGGAGGCGAGCTGGTTGAGGATGATTCCAACTTTGAAGTGACTTCCAAATCCAAGGCCCACCGCAAGATTAGAGTCAACAAGGAGCTGTTTGGAGGAGACATCATGATCCCCAGGTTTGTCTTCTAGGCTAGGTCATAGTCACAAAGTCAGGCGAGGATTTCTAGACTTGAAGTTTCACCAAATCCTTCCAGACTAGGTTTCTAGACTGGCTGTATAAGTCATGGTCACCAAGTATGGTTTCTAGACTAGGCTGTATAAGTCATGGTCACCAAGTATGGTTCTAGACTAGGGCTGTATAAGTCTAGACCAAGTATGGTTTCTGACTAGGCTGTATAAGTCATGGTCACCAAGTATGGTTTCTAGACTAGGCTGTATAAGTATAAGTCATAGTCACCAAGTATGGTTTCTAGACTAGGCTGTATAAGTCATGGTCACCAAGTATGGTTTCTAGACTAGGCTGTATAAGTCATGGTCACCAAGTATGGTTTCTAGACTAGGCTGTATAAGTCATGGTCACCAAGTATGGTTTCTAGACTAGGCTGTATAAGTCATGGTCACCAAGTATGGTTTCTAGACTAGGCTGTATAAGTCATAGTCACCAAGTATGGTTTCTAGACTAGGCTGTATAAGTCATGGTCACCAAGTATGGTTTCTAGACTAGGCTGTATAAGTCATGGTCACCAAGTATGGTTTCTAGACTAGGCTGTATAAGTCATGGTCACCAAGTATGGTTTCTAGACTAGGCTGTATAAGTCATGGTCACCAAGTATGGTTTCTAGACTAGACTAGTCTAGTCAGACTAGGCTGTATAAGCATAGTCACAAGTATGGTTTCTTAGGACTAGACTGTATAAGTCATCACCAAGTCATAGGTCACCAAGTATGGTTTTCTAGACTAGACTGTATAAGTCATAGTCACCAAGTATGGTTTCTAGACTAGGCTGTATAAGTCATAGTCACCAAGTATGGTTTCTAGACTAGACTGTATAAGTCATGGTCACCAAGTATGGTTTCTAGATAGACTGTCTAAGTCTAGGTATGGTTTCTAGACTAGGAGTAAAGTCATAGTCACCAAGTATGGTTTCTAGACTAGGCTGTATAAGTCATGGTCACCAAGTTATGGTTTCTAGACTAGGACTGCTATAAGTCATGGTCAGAAGTATGGTTTCGACTAGGCTGTATAGAAGTCATAGTCACCAAGTATGGTTTCTAGACTCATGTCTAGAAGGTTCCTGTTTGGTTTACTAGACTCATTTCGAAGGTCTTTGTGAGAAGTTTGTGGCAGTAAAAAGAAGTGGGCAGTAAGCTGACTTGACTAACCCTTCGACTGCTACGTTCCCGGAAATAGTTGTCTGCCCTGTGCTAAGCAATTGTTGAAAAAAAAAAGTCTCTGCTGTGCGCAATACTTTTCTATCTTCTAAACGCAAAAGATGCGTTAGCCGCTGGTGAGGCTATGTTTTGTACACCTAAAAAATTTTACCCTGGGAAGTGTGTCGTGTTTGGTCCGAGTGGTGACAAGTCAGCAGGTACGATGGGTTTGCCCCACAACCTTGGACTAACGGAGCTATCACCCTTGGGGGGGGGGGGGAATTAATGAAGGAACTGTTCCCAGTCCGTATCCCAAAATTTGATTGACGAAACCTACCACTGCTGCCACTTTAATCATATTTACTGTAGTCACCATGTATTACATACCAAAATAATTTTAAAAAATATCAAATACTCAGTCGCCCGTTGCTGAAAAGTAGCAGGAACTCAAAGGAAAATTTATCAATTAATTAAAAAAAAAAAAAAACAAAACTTCGGGGGTTGAACACACGACCGTCTGATCTAAGGCGAACGTGATACCATTTACATTATGCTACGCTTGGACGCATTGCGCTGTGTAAATGATCATAATGAATGATGTTGCGCAGACTATCAATAATGTGTCTAAGTTTGTAGTCTATCGCCGCCTGCATTGAGCACCGTTGTCTAAGAAATGTTGTAGACTCTCAACAATAGTAAAAATATGGTCCCTCGACATTATTTTACGGAAGTTTTTAGGGCAAACAGTCTTTGCCAAGTACTCTATTTTGAGTTCTTTGTTCTAAGCCTTAGCAGACAGACAGAAAAAAAATTAGTTCGTCCGATCTGTGCTGTCCATTGGGAAAAAAGGACGAGAAATTTTAGTGAATCTAAACTGTTGAATTTACAGTAGCAGAAATACAGATAGAGCTGGAGTCATCACAAAATCATGCACTACTGGTTTCAAACTGATACGAGTTCATCAAGATAACTGATCAATTTACTTGCCGTTTTGATGGCGCTTCATTGTCGATGCTCTCTGATTCCCGACGATTGAGCGACTCGGACAGGCAAACAAGCTTTTTTTGGGACACGCCGGTTTCAGCAGTCGATACGGATGGCCTAGTCAAAATCTTCTTGCTTCCACATGTCAGAAAGATACACATTCAAAGTCAATCTATCTATCACTTCTTGGACAGAAAAATCCATTCAATTCTTCATCAACTTTAACAAGTTTTCTTGCCATTTTGTACTAAGTGTAGAATAATCCAAAGGGAGCACAAAATATATATCAGGGCACAAAAAATACCATTAGAGTCACCGACCAACAGTGTCACCTGGTAAACCAAAGCAACGGGATAACGCAAAATGCAGTAGTAAACACGCCTTAAACACACCTAAAAGGACGTTGCCAGTCGCTTTTAAGTAATATGTAAAATGGGTCAGTTTAAATCTCAAATATAGCTAATGTATATTGCCCTTCAGCACAGTAAAATACGATTGGTAACAGAAAATCTGTAAGGAAAAGCCAAAAAACGGCATTTAGGACGGTCCATAGCACTGGGAGGTCAAGAAAAAAAAATAACGTCCAAAGATAGGGCGTAGCAGCGTACGGGAAATCGGGAAAAAGACGTCCATAGCAGCGAAAGGGTTAAGGACAGAAAGACCATCTCTCGTGATGGACTGGACTTAACAGTAGTGAAGATGGGTCATGTGGTGATGCGACAGGAGAGAATCACTGGGACCTTGACATGACTAGAAGTCGACTTGGGGGGGGGGGGGGGGTTTGGAGTTTTGTGTTTGTTCTGGGTGTTGGGTGTTGCTTGCTGATGCTTATTGGAAAATTCACTAATGTTCAGGCAGGCAGTCAGTCCACAACAACTTTAGGAGACAGATGAAGTGAATGAAAGTACAGTGCAGTTCTATAAGAAAGTGTGTTAGCAGTCATGTGTAGATTTATTTAAGTACACTAATGAATAAACTAGAACGGTAACCTACATTAGCTGTAATTATTCGCATTAGTGAAAGTACTGTGTGGGAGTTGGGATTTGACAGGAGGCCACCCCTAACTGGGATTTGCATGAAATCCATCGGTGAATGAAGGTCCCGTCTGGCGATACATGCCTGTTGGTACCGCAAGTGTATGAGTGACGTAGGAAGTTTAAAAGACTATAAAGTGGATCATGACAGTCAATATTCCTGTGCGGTTAAAAAAAAATGCATAATTAACCTATGGCACTTTGGTACTCAAAAAAAAAGAAAAGAAACGCATAACTACTCAAAGGAACCTACTTTTGCCATTCGCAATCTTTGTAATATAATAAGTGAAATTGTTCAAATTGCATTAAATACCATAGGGTTGAACCAATTCATTGACAGTTATTTTGCATCAGGGTCGTTAATTTGATTTTAGGCGTACGTGCTTTCCCGTCAATTAATAAAATCATGCCATTGGATAACGAACTGTATTTCTTACTCGAAAGATACCATCAGATAACAGTTTTTTTAAATTTATTTTTTAATTTTAAATAGTATAAATTGGGATCTGAAAGACAAGATTCCAAGTTAAGGATAAAAGATTATTTGCCTTTGAGGGCCCT